AAGGTACACTCATGCACAGGGTTGGAACCTGAATCCACACTTTCAGTTTACAAGACTGACGCATCACCAGGTGAGCAGTGTGTTGGCGAGTTCAAAGGCTTGCGCCGCGTCTGACTGGAATCGATCCTTCTTTGGGATAGTGTTCATTCTTTTATTGGGCTGCATTAACGCTCCCACTTAGACACACTTGGAACACGCCACTTTTGATCACCGATGACATACCTGCTTTTCCTTACAATTCCAACTCACCCTCTTTCAAGCCGCATGTTCATGCTTCTGCATTTCATGCCAAGCTGGGCTACACAAATGCCACACAAATAGACACGCACGCCCCTGCAATTTGAAACCAACATGAAACACCTCAATGCACATCATACAGTCAGGGCGGCTGCATATTCCCCGGCACGACGTCAATTCGCAGTCTCCACCAAAAACGGCCAAAAGGTGCAGTGAACCTTCCGCCGAAAGAACAAAACACGTAAACGAACTGGTTGTATCCCCCTACCTCAAGGCGGATGCAGGTCCTTTAAGTCCCCAAAAAGAGGACCCCCACCGAAATCCATTTTAAGGGACTGGGGATGTGGTGCCTTTGGTCACAGTAATACAATGAGAGAATCGAGAACTATATTGTTCACCAATGATCAATTGCTCGAAATGTTAAAACAAATCTTAAACACTTGGTCTAAGTTAAAACATATGCACTCTATTGGAGGTTTAACTAAACACAAATGAATAAAATAATTGACCCTTCAAGCTGACCGCAGTTGGGAAGACCTTCCTTTGGGGAACCCCCCCAACCCCCCTCAAAGAACAAATCTGTGAAGCCACACGAACAAAATGCATCCGGGTGCAACCACTGGGGCTTGCGGCTCAGACCAGCCGAGCGGGCCTTGGGCAAAAAACGCGGCGTTCCGGCGAACCCAGGAGTCGCACCCCTCTTATCTTCTGCTTCCATTTGCTTAAGCCCCCTGGAAAAATCGACATATGTGTTGTCTAGTAGTGATAGATTCCTTTCAAAGCCAAAAAGGGAAAATTATTCTTAAGTAATCGGAAGTGCAAAACACTGGAATTTGCTTCCAAAAGGAACCCCATTGTACACAAACCTTGCGCCGTTTTACGGGTCCAAGAAAAGACACGCCGATTTCAAACTGGAGCCCGACTCTGTCGCGTGACATCTCAGCTTCGTGAGACCGTTCGGGGGCCGGGTCCCGCCCTTTCTTTGGGACCCGGTTTTGCAGGGGCGGGGCGGGGGGGGGGGGCCAAAATCCGACATGAAACCCACCGGAGAGAGTCCGTCGTTTTAAAGGACAACGGCTGAATCAACCTGGGCAATCCCACGTAGTTTTCTTGCTTTCCGATCCTCCTGATCCCCCATTCTATTCAACCATCGTTCTTGTCAAAAACCGGATCCGTTTCCCTTGGGTTTTTGATGGTTTCCTGAAAAGAAGGATCCCTGGAAAGGATGGGGAAGGTACCCCTCGAACAGGATTTGCTCCACAGTTGAACCCAACTTGTGGTTCGAAATTCGGGAGGGGTGGGGAAAAGGAATCAACCCCTAGGCCCTAGACCTGTGGGTTTTCTGCTCGACTTCCTCTGAGATGAACCCCACCCTCCTTGCAAGGCCGCAGCCTCCTCGCCCACTGCCAGCGCCATCTGCCACTCAGATGCCCCAGCGCAAGCACGGCCTCGAGCGATGAGGCAAGCCTTGTGAAGGTTTTTGCGGGAACACGATGATGGGTGTGTCTTTTGGGAAGGAAACCGTGTTTTTGGTGGGTTCAAAGGAAAACCACGAAGGAAACCACACTTCTTTTTTTTTTTTGGGGGGGGGTCTCCTGAAAAAGACACGCCCAAATGGGTGTGAAGCGCTCCTTTGGGGAACCCATCCAATGGGACCTCATGCAAACGTGGGGGATTTATGCCCAACCGTTTTGGAGGTGTGCCCTATCGGCACCAAAAGACGATGCGAGGCGCTGAGGGTCGGGCTTTTGGTAGGAGGGGATTGACTCATGGCACGTGCCATGCTTGCCACCCTTTCGGAACATGAATTAATCTGACCTCATATAGATTAATCAACCCCAGTCTAATAATAGAGGGGGGTGACTCCCTGGGTTTAGTAGGGATTAGACCACTTTTGGAGGGGAACACCCCTATGAACAAAACTGGGGTGGAAAAATCCGGGCTCAACATTAATCTGAGTGACTGGAAAGGCCCATCCTGATCAAGTATTAGGCATCCCCTAGGCTCATTCTGACCACAAAAACTGATCTCTCTCACCCCATCGCGAGCACAAGAAACGCAAAAGCCTTGAGATTTCCGGTCGATATGCACAGAACGAAGATAGCAATGAGCTGACTCACGTCGATCCTTTTGAGACAAACCCACGTGGAACATCTCGTGCAAATGCTGCTGACTCCGGGTTTTCCTCTACCAGCGGACTCTAAAAACCCATAAACATGTCATACGCTAAAGGGTGAAAAAAATGTTTCCGGAAGCGCAATGTGTTTGGATCCGCCTGACGACGGCCATGCTGCCTGATTGCGGAAGGAGCTGAGCGAGGGAAGCGGATCAAATGTGGATCTTCGGGTGGCATTGAGCCGTGTATACCGCTCAAAGAAATCGGACCCCACAACATGCATGTCTGCTTTTGGTTTCCCTTTTTGCCACCTCCCAAAAAGGCTACTCTGAAAAAAGACGCACCGAGTAGATTGGCCAACAAAAGTGCACAAAGTGTTGGTCTGCCACTAAATGGTCCAAACCCAACAAGTCCATGAACCTATGAATTGAGCCTTCGCCCACCTCCAAACTCGTCTGTCCGCCTCAAACGAGGCGCGCGCTGGCAGCAGAGTACGCAGCCTTGTCCGGCACAAAGAACCACCTGTCTTTTTGCAGGGGACCCTTGCAAATGACGGTTTTCATGTTGGTCTCCCTGACAAAAAGGGCTACCTCACAAAAGACAGACCCACCAGGAAAAGCCCCCTTTTCGCGAGGAGGTGCGCCACTCGTGACATGGCAAGGGGTCACTCGTTGCAACGAGTCACGTGAGCGGGAAAAAATGAATCACCCGGATAGAGAAAATGGCATCCGCGTGATCCCGTTAGGTTTGGAGAAACGACCCTTCCATGTATGTCCCTTGCCGCATGCACCACTGTTTTGGAGGGCAGAGGAGTGAAGACCGTTTCTCATATGAACCACACCCTCCTGCAGCAAATGAATAATACTGACTCTTTCTCACATGTCTCAGAAAAGAAAGCTGCTCGCGCTGGCCAACTCCGAATCAGCTCCACAACTCAAATCCTCATTTTGTGAGCTCTCTTGCTCAAACAAACCTTTGCCTTGATCACTGCTTAAGTCTCCCCGAAAAAGAACAACTTGAACATATGTCCTGAAATCGATTCCCTCTACAGGGGGAAGCCAGGTCTCCATTTCAAGCAGACCGCTCTCCTTTCTATCCCCGGATGGCTCGTCGCTTCGCCTGACTCGAACCGGAAAAACCCCCGGCCTCTGCATCTCCTCCAGTTCTGCGAGGCTCATTTGCCAGTTGCACCTAGAGTTGGAATCGATTCAGGTGCAATCAGAAAGGGCTCAGAAAGTGGAACGGACATTTCAGAAGATTCTTCCATCCATCAGGCTGGGGGGATTCTGTTGCTGAGAGAAATGTCAAAGATGTTCTTTCAGTTGGCCACACGACATTGCTGGCGTTCACGCAAATGATTATTTTTGCTTTCGTCCAAGTAACCTCTTGCATGTTGAACACAGAATGTACCAGCTCCATCAACGCGGCTTTAAGTCAGGCAGTCCACTCAATCAAACTGCAACTGTCTTAAGCCTTGTCACAGAAAGCAAACCCTCCGATTCGCTGTTTTGCATCATTGGCCGGTCAGGTCTCATACAAATACACTTTGCAAGCAAATCAGAGACGGCATCTCTAAATCTAATCTTCCTGCAATCTGGCAACGCAGGATCCTGGCTTGGATTTGGGTCTGGTGGCTTATTAAACCATAATTCGCCCCCAAGATCTGCAATCGGTTAAGAGACCCCAGTGGGTCGCAACCCTAGTTACAACTCCCATTGCTGATCATGTAGACGTCGCCCAGTTTCGGGAGACTTTTTTCATAACCCTTCAGTGAATCCATTTACCTGTATAGTAGGTAGTTGCCACTCGATCTCTATCTGTATATATATATATAATTATATGTATACATGTATAAACATATGGAAGGGTCATTCATAGAGGTTTGCCTGGGATCCACCGGGCCTTTGTAAGCCTCGCAATTTCCCTCCCCCATCAGGTCACCTTTTTGGGGTTGGTTTGGATTGGTGGTTTGGGGTATTGAACCCCTGGCTTTTGCAGAGAGACGGGAAACCGCCCCTAAACCTCCAATCCACCAATCTCCAAACCACCAAAAGCTGACACCCCGGTTCTCAACTTCCAGATCCCAGTTGTGACAACAAAATGGGAACCCAAACAAGGGAAACCAAACAATGGCAACCAAAAAAAAAGACTAGCTCTTGGATTCTGTTGACCCCTCTGCAAAAGTTTCACTTTTTGTGGGTTTAGTGGAAAACCTATTGATTCCCCAAAAAGTTCAAGTCTAAAGATCCATCCCAATAGCAGTAAAGAACAATGGCGGCCAAACATGGGCGCATTTCAGGTGGATTCGCTTTGGGCAGAGTTCCAGCGAAACTTCCCGGCCCCCACCTCGAGAAGGCCATCACCGCGGCGTGGCAGCCGCCGAAGCCTTTCGGTACCGCCCTGCGAGGCGCAGACTCCAGCGAAACCCGCCGTGAAAGCAGACCTCGACACCTTTTTGGAACTTGCTTGGGGGTTTGGGGTGTGCAAATACCCTACCAAAAACAAGGGTGTCCTGGCGTACTTGGCAAATGCCCTGCGAAAAACACGGATTTCCCGTGTATCTTCCTTGTGGCTGATTTTGGGTTTAGGGTTTCGGTTTGCCTTTAGCTGATTTCCCGCATATTTTCTGTAGCTGACTTAGGGTTTAGGGTTTAGGCTTCCCTTTGAACCAACCCCAGGCTCTTGCTTCATGACAGGAAATTCTACAGGCCATTTGGCAAATACCCACCACAAACAAGGATTTCCTGTGTATTTTCCTGCAGCTGATTTAGGGTTAGGGTTCAGGTTTCCTTTAAAGCAACCCACAAAGGGTTTCCTCAACAAAAGGCACACCCATATCTGTCAAAATGATTGGGTTCTTTGGTTTGATAGGCAGAGAAATGGAATGACCCCGATTTAACCCATTGCCAATTTGGTGTCCTTTATTTGGGAATCCCCTTCGGCTTCCCACAAATCAAGTTGAAAAGCCAAGTTCTTGGCTGGAATGCAAGAACCCCTGGAAGCTTGAATCCTTCCGGTAACCCAAATATGGAAAACACTGGGTGAAAGTCTGTATCAACCAGAGTTCACGTGGGTCAACTTTCTGCTCTCCCCGTTTTCTACATAATACCAGAGACCTGCACATCGGATTCAAGCCCGGCCTCATGTCCTCGAGGACTTGGGCCACCAACTGCCACTGCTGGCTCCTGTCTCGATCGCATGCGTCTTTTCTCTCGGCCGCGGAACAGCTTGCCTCCCAAAGGTGGGTTTGGAGCGCGGTGGTTTGGTGGTCAAGGAGGGGTTTCCCATAAGCTCATGGCTGCCTCGGCGACCAAGACCTCGTAGGCTTTAGCAAGAAGGCACCCGCGTGTTCATCTACTTCTCGCCAAGCATGCCCCACATCTCGCGCGACAACAAACCGCCAGCTTCGATCGCTGAACTGGCAATTATTCTCTTTCAAAGATCTGAACGCAAAGTCCCAAGAATTTGTGGCTCAAAATTTAAGAGCCTGGATATGGACTGCGGCAGCTTTCGTCTACTTGTCCATTGACCAGGGCAACCCATGTTGGACTGATCCCGATTTTTGAGCCACACACGCAGAGCCCTTCAGTACCGCAGCATCTAAACCACCTGTCAAAAGGCCTGCCCACTGGATTTTCGGTTTCTCTGCTGCTCACTTCAAAAACGCACCTGAACAGTTGGAAACACTACTTGGGCGATTTCCTTGCATGGGAACCCTATTTTGGTTGTTGGTTTCAAGTGGAAACGAAAAGGAACACATTCCCAACAAAACAACCACTCCCACTTTGAGATATGCCAAGTTCAAGAAATCGTTTACCTTGGATCAGTGCTCAGACGTGCTGGGAAGAAACTGAAGAGCCTCAGGGGGACGCAAAGAGTTGTTCTGAGCATTTTCTTGTGAGGGTACCCCTTTTGGGCCTTAAGGGATGCCTTTTTAGCACCCTCAAACTCTGGGTAAGCTCAAACAGGGTGATCCCCTTTCGATTTCCCTTCGAATGACTCTTGAAACTGACATCCTCTATTTAAAAGACACCCTTTTCAAGGGCTCCCCGCCACCCCACCCCATCTCACCCCATCTCACCCCATCTCACCCCATCTCACCCCACCCCATCTCAACCCACCCCCCCCCGCCCCACCCCACCCCGTGTTCCCCTCTCCGGGAATTCAATGGGTCGTTAGGATTCGGACCCGCTAAATTGCGCAATTTGGTTCTCCTGGTGGTTTCCCTTAAAACCAACCCAAAAAGGGCGACCGACTCCAACAAAAACGCGCCCAAATGGAATGCCTTGGAAAGAAGATCGCGCGAAACAGCGCTCGTCGCTCACCGACTGGCTTCCCGAGCTTCGAAAACAGACTGCCCTTACAAATTGGATTGCGCCCCAGAATGTCGGGTTCCATTCACCTACGTTTAAAGGTAGTTTGAGAGTCCAGGCACCTTTCAAAACAAAGAGGATCTGCCGAGCTTCAAAAAACCGACACGCACGGCTATGGGTCAAAAACCCGTACCCCAAGTGAACATCCCAATCCCCCAACAAAACATGTCTAAAAGGCGTGGTGCACCTACTCCAAAATGGTACCATTGGTGTTGACCCGCATCCACTTCTGGCGCAAACTGCCTGCCGCTCGCCGCCACCGCGGTGGCGCAGAGCATCTGGTCGGGCTGCACCTGCCGCGTCCGAGCGTTCCGTGCGTTGCCGGTGAAGCGCACCAGGGAAACGGGTGCCCGTTTTGAGTCTGTGTGTGCGCTTCGCCTTTTTTTTTGAGGCAAGCCTTGGGGTGCTTTGAGCTCTGAATGAGGTACCAAAGGAATCTGCTCCTCTTGGGGGAAGTCAAAGTTCTTCCCTTGGAAGCCCTGGAAGTACGGCTACCCTTGGGGTGGTAGTTCCCTTGTTTAGCCGAAAAGGCATCTTCGACCCCTCCCATACGGCGGGATGAACAACGCGCCAATCGGCACAAAACAATTGGGAGTGGATCCGGTATTCATAGGGTATCTTGCTCTTCCTTTTTTTTTGTTGTTGTTGGACCTAAAACAAGCGGTTGTCCTCTTGTTGTCCCTTGATACCAACACAAACAAGGGGTACCAAGCCTCGATAAAGGACGAGCCACCCTGAGGCTTTGGTTTCAGCCACTCGTGTGTTGGGTCGAGACTCCCGGTGGATGTGATGGAGGGCCAGAAATGCTCAAACTTCAAAGCGAACCGCTTGAGCAATGCTCCGGCGGGCCCTTGCGGACACCAAAAGCATTCTTGAGACCGCCAGCCTGTCTCTGTTGGAAAAATTGGAACCGTCCAAAGCACTTGTTCTTGGTTTAAAGGACTGACAAGTTCAACGAATCAGCTTCAGGTGGAGTCGCAGTTAACTCAGTCCCTTTCAATATGTTGTTGCCATTTGGCCATGGGTCAGAATCCAAATCGTACCCCCGGTGAACATCAACCAATCCCCACTAAAATAGGTTCTAAAATGGGTGGTACTCGGCAAAGCGGGCCATCGACATGCGGAGGTTGAAACAAGGCCGAGGCGTCAGCTAGCCTGACGCCCCCGCTCCTTTGATCGTAGGCTCCCCATATTTCCGCTATAAACATCAGCCCATGGAGAGGAACCGCATCTAATGGCAACCGAACGGTTATGCTTAAACCGGCTGAAAGAGAAGCATCGGGTATTCTTGCTGGGCAGGGTCTCTCAGGCAGGATAGATGCGTAACCAACGCCGTTCTTGCTGCGATGTTGCCCGCATGGTTGCCTGGCTGTCTGGTTGCTTCTTGCCTGCCCGATGCAGCAGCCGCCTGCTCGTCAAAGGATGAAGCCACCAGGGACAGGGCTTGTTGCCAGAAGTGCCTGGCATGCAAAACAAACGTGATGACAAGTGTGCCAAACCAAAAGGGGCCTGATGTTTGGCTTGAGGCTCTCTTCAAACATGTATGACATGATACATTCCAGTTTTCACTTTTAGTTTGCAAAGTGCATCCTGAGCGCAAACCGAGCCATTCAGCAGTGCTGCAAGCTCCCCGACTCCCCATCCTGCGCTCGCAAGCGCTGGCGGTGGTGTTGAAGATGATGACATCTCTCTGCAAGGACCGGCCTCGCATCTCCTGTCACTCTCGATCAACTGATGGAACCTGCTGGGTTCCCGCTTTGGACCATGTTCCTAGAGCGACCAGGTGGGACACTGCGCTCAGCCGGGAGTTTGAATGCACCATTCCAATGGCCACCGCTACCAACCTTGAAGGTCAAGATGGTCAAGCAAAACCAGGCCGACGTCTAGATCAAGTTCTGCCAGTGAAATGAACATATAAGCAAGTCGGGAAATCCGAAACCGAATCCGGTTTCCCCTAACCTCCCCTTCGCCGGGCGCGCAAATCTCTTGCCATCGTCTTTTCAGATCTCCAGTTCTTTCTGTCCAGGAACCAACAGCGCTTCAAGGGGTCCCTGTCGCAGAACAAACCTTGTGGAACATGTTCCGGCACATGCGCCGGACATCTTGGGACCCCATGTGGCCTCTTTCTTGGGTTAAACGCCTTACCGAAAAAAAAATGGCCATACATTGTTTTACGTTTTTGCTTCAACAAATCGTTGAACAAATACGGGTTTCATACGGGTCATTTACGCAAATGAAAACAAACAAATGGCCATACGGGCAAATACGGCCACATACGGGAGGTTGATCGAACAAAAGCACCCACACGGGGTGCCAGGTAGTTTTTCAGATTTGGCTCATGCCTGCCTGCAAAGCTGAGAATTAGAATTGTGTAAATGACCACTCGTTTTGCGCATAGCATGCGATACATTCGCTCAAACAGCTGAAATCAACAACCTTGAAACTTGCAGCTAGGAGTGTCCAAATTTGGGGTGCATGTTCGGAGCACGCATGTCGCACTCCGCCTGCGTTGAATACGCCTGAATGATTTGCCTCACCTCCCACTCCCGCAACCTCTGGCAAGTTGACAGCACCACTGAAAACGCATTGACGCACAGTTGTGCAGCTCGGCAAGAACAACTCCCGAAACTACCAGCGTTTTCCGCCTGTTTTCTCCACAAACAGTCTCTCCAGCCCTCTGTTCTCAAACATCCTGAGCAACCTGATAGAACACGAACCCGAACGCAAATGAACTGCACAAAAGCAACCGCGGCAAGTCTATCTGTATATGTTTTCGCCCATGATTTACCTGCCTGTTGACCTAGTGATTTGTCGATTTATCCATCTACTTCTTCATCTACGCTTCTTCCAGTACAGGTGTGTATCTACCTATCCACTTGTCTGTCTACCAATTTGTCAACCTACGGATGTGTACATCTATCCACCTATTCGTCTAGCTATCTAATTGTCTGGCTATCTATCTGTTTGTCCCCGCAAACATCCATCCATCCACTGATCTACCTATCCATCACACCTGTCGATCCTTCCTGCCTGCCTGCCTGCCTGCCTGCCTTCCTTCCTTCCTTCCTTCCTTCCTTCCTTCCTTCCTTCCTTCCTTCCTTCCTTCCTTCCTTCCTTCCTTCCTTCCTTCCTGCCGCCCGGCGTCTGCCACAGAATCAGTGCATGACCCTTCAAAGTGCTGCGCCCGCCACGCAAGCACCTTCGGCGAGACGTGCAAAGTGTGGAAATTCTATGCGCGCAGGCTGTCACGAAGTCCAATTTTGACATACGTTTGCGGCGCGTGTCCGGAAAAAGTCTTTGTTTAAGCCTGCCAAACCAAGCCGATTGTACAACCGGGCCAACGAAAAGGGCACTCGCGCAAATTCGCGCGCGTGCCTGCCAAGAAAACAAAAAACGGCCACCCTGTGGCGCAAATCGCAAACGTCACGGCGGCGCAAACGCACAACCCTGCCTGCGCAGCGAAACGAAGCGCGAAGTCGCAAAAGCTACGAATCGCTCGCAGGCAATGAAAACAAGTCGCAAGTCAAGAAAAGTGGCAGAAGAAAGCCCGCCACAAAGATGGCCATTCTTCTGGGGATAATGGCCGTCATATTGCGTATGAAGTCATATTGTATCAAACCCAGTTTCCAAAGCCTCCTTAGCCCTATGTTGTCTTCGAGCAATGGCAAAGCGGTTGTAGCAGCACCGTGTTCCTCAGAACTTTGCTCGCAAAAGCCCCTGCCGCCTTCAACTCATGTTGGCGTTTGGCTGTGCCAGCACGTGTGCGCTCACACATTCGCGTCGCAGCTATGGAGTCTATGAGGGCCTTCAACTTCTCCGAGCGTCTGGTCAGCTTGGCCGTTTTGAAAAGAGCCGCAGGCCGTCCTTTACAAGTCTTCAAGTACGGCGGGGCCAAACTGTTCATGATGAGCTGCGAGATGGCGGTGCCAACACGCCCGGCTCATCAAGGACTTGAGTTCCACAGCTTGCGTCGGGAACGAATCAAGTTGTACGCTTGCATCAGCTTGGCGGTTCGGCTGGGGTGGTAGAGCCTGACTTTCTGGATGACGGATGGGGCATTCAAATACTTCATCGGGCTGGCCTCTTTTTTAGGAACCACGAGCAAGCAGGTAGCAAGCAGCAACGATTCGGCGGAGCTGAAGCGGCAAGCTGTCTTCTCTAAACAAAAAATAAGCCGCTCTCAGATGGGGAGCTGTCCGGCGATTGTCTCTCGCCGTTGACGTGTGGGAGGATTCTCCTCTTGTTGGCCAGTGGTGGCCTACGCCGTGCTGGTCTCGCAGCTTCCCAGCCCTGCCCTGCTGCTCTCGTGGTGCAATGCGACAGAAGCGAGGCAACCGAAAGAGGCAATCTTCTTCTTGAAAGTCTCCACAATTTGGTTGGGTTTGCTCTGCCTTGGCGGCCGCTGCGCCTTCCACTATCTCACCACCGGCTTGTGCCTTCTGAGGTTTTTCCACCTCGGTGTGTCCCAGTATCTCTGCGGCCGCCTTTCTTTCTGGGATCTCGCCTGCTTTCCTCGCACAACTTGTTGAAACGCACTTGGCACCCACAGATTCCACAGATTCCACAAATCCGCCGGCCACAAACTTGGCCGTGGATGCAAGGCGCTCATTCTCGGACTCTACACGGCTCCATCAGCAGGGACAACACAAAGGTTCAAAACGCCCGTCCGATTTTGTTGTTTTCTCTTCTGCGGGGTTTCTCTTTCAGGCCGTTTACTTGTGTGCTTGACAACTGCGAAATGCACCTTGCGAAGCCTTGCGCATGTCAAAAGTAAAGGACGTGTTTTGGAGGCATGTTTCCAAGGTAGGTTTTAGGAGCATGTTCCGGGGGTATGTTCTAGGTAAGTTGACCATACCTCCCTGTCTTGCGCCTTTTGCCGAGGGTTTGAGAAAGGGCTATAAATAAACCGACAGATTCTGGGCCTTTCTGCTGGCTGGCATCGCCTGACCAAGACAGCTGCTTGAACAATCATCTAGACTCTAGGGGTTCATAAACGTTCATACCAGGGAATCTGGTATGACCTCTATGCTTCCTACATTCAGCCTTCGAGGGTCTGCGCCCAACAGGATGTAAGTGTCCTCGAATATGCCGAGCACGCTCTCCCAGTTCTCGCTTTTCCTCGGCGCCATGTCACCCCGCCATGGATGACATCTGCTCGTCAATAAGATTGCAGCCGTCTCACCTCATTTTGAGGGAACCTCTTTGTTAAGTGGTTTTCAAGGGAACCACAAAGAGAGATAAACAAACATTTCTGGGGTCTGCAAGGACAATCGCAGCACTTTGGTGGGGTGAATGGCAAGAACCTGGCGCTGGTGGTTTCCGACTGGACACCCAAACATGCGACCAACCGATTTTGTTTGAGCAGCACCCCCTTACAAAGGAATGTCCCTTCCCGCCAACATGGCATGGAAAACCGATCTTCCAGGCACGTTTGATGTTTGGAGTGGGCTTGCCCTTCTGTTGCGGTTGAATAAAGGAATCCGGCCAACATGTAGGAAATCGATCTTCCAGGTAACCAGGTGCTGTGTTTGCCAAGGAAGATTTGTCCATCGCCCACGGATTTCAGCCAGCGGCTCTAAGGGCCGAAAGCCAAGCCCGAAGGCGGAACGCCTCGCAACTTCGCCCATCGCTGCTTCTCAGGAAATGTTGAGGGATTTTTGAGTTTTGGACTTCAGATGACAGGTTTTAGATTGCAGGGGAATGAACCCCAAGGCGCATAGTGTCGTCATTCCCTGCCTATCGAACCAGTAGCTTAACACTGCAAGGGCTCCACTCTCGTTCGCCGCGCGTGTGAAGCTCTATCTGCGAGAATGAAACAAAACAAGTGCCGAGGGGCAGCCGCAAAATCCAAAAGGGCAAGCTTGAAAATTCCAAGATGGGGTATATACACATGGAGGATCCAAGTGGTTGTGTCTTTTTAGTCCCTCAAAAAGCGACGGGCCGCCTACATGACGAATTCTGCAAATCTCCAAATATGCGCCGCGAGGCTCGCAGCCGGTGAGGAGCAGATTGTAAGATACAGAGCTCGGCTGGCAGCGGCCTCCGAAGTGGACCAGGGGGTTCCGACGCTACCTTCCATTTCCATTCTTTCCAGGGATCCGAATCTTTTCAGGAAACCAGCAAAACCCAAGAGAAACAGATCCGGTTTTTGATTAGAACGATGGTTGAAAAGAATGGGGAATCAACCCCTAGAAAAATATTCTTCCAAAACCCTCCTGTCAGCTTCCATTTTTGGATTTCCCCCAGCTTTTCGGGCGTCTTTTTGGAGTTGGGTCCCGTTTGTTGCGTTGTTTAAAGAGAAGCCAAAGGGACAACCGAAGCCATTTTGGGGGTCCGAATCCGAACAAAAACGCACCCTTTCAATCGCAGGCTGCCAGGAGCCGACATAGAAAACACTGGGCGTCGCAGCCCGCCGACTCTCTCAACAAGCTTTCTGCATCAATCGCAGGCTACCAGGAGCCGAAAGCAAGTGCGTGAAAGCAAGCGCACGCGAGCGCGCCCAAAAGAGTGCAAAACACAAAGGCGAGCGCGCCAAAGAGCACATCGAAGGCGAGCATGCCCAACCTAAACCAGCAAAAAAGAGAACGAACAAGAGAAGGGGTGGGTGGGTCCACGTGACGGCACTGAGCCTTCCGGAAAACAAAAAGAAAGAACCCCGGCCCACAGCTCGGGGTGATTCGGGGTGAAGGTACAAAAAATTATATCTCCTCAGGGGCAGCTTCTGAGAGGTTTCCCTTTTGCCTCTGCTACAAGCCACACAAATGCCACCACACGGGGGCATCCATTCCAGGCAGTTTCCGGGCGTCTAGCGTGACTGCATCTCCTCGAAGTATTCCAGGCAGCCACGCCAGTGCTGTCCTCACCAGTCATGCAACCATTCTGACCTGAATTGCCTGGACCTCCACTGGATTTCCACCTTTTTGTGGGAAGTTGATTATGTGGGATGACCATTAGAAAAAACGACTGGAAAAAGATCATATTTCCATCGGGCAAAGTTACCCATGGTCATTTGGGTGCCGAACAGAATACTGATCAACCCCGAAATGGGTATGGTTCAAAATTAACCCACCAGGGGACCGCAGGTTCTAGTCCATGTTTCCATTTTCCAGGGTTCCATTTTGGCTACCTATTCTTGGCCCACAGCCAAATGCCCTTGGAGCAATTTGTGAACTGTTCGCATCCGGGGTGGCTTTGGCAGTGGCCCCCTTCTTGCAGAAGGGCCTTTCTTTCGTCAGTCCCCTGACACCTGGTCCTCCTCCCGGACGGAACCACTGATGCTCACTTCAACCCAGACCAAGTGGCCACTGTTTGTTGATGTCTGGTTTGAAAGCGAACCCCACTCCAAAAGCCGGGAAAAAGGAAGGAAGCAACTGGAGGTCTAGGTTCAGAATTACCAGCTTTACCCTCCTCCCTGCCTTCCGTCCTTCGGAGCAGGCTCTGATGAGGCAGTTGAACATGAAGGTGGTCCGCTCTGACTCCCTGCAACCCTGCGATGCGAGCAGCGGCCGGCAGTGGACAGAGCATGGTCAATGGCCATGGGTGCCCCCCACTGTGCGCATGTGGATTCCATTGGCCATACCGTACCCATTCTCATCCATTTGCTTAAGTCCCCTGGCAAACAACTTTTTGTTCAGTAGTGATAGATTCCCTTTAAAACCACAAAATACAAGTAGAACATCTTCCTAAGCAAATGGACGTTTCTAGCCACTCAACGGAAAACACGCCGCCCATCTCCACTTGAAACTATCTCAGCATCTACACCCAGGGCACCGGCCGAGGCCACAAATCAGCGGCGCATCTTCAGAGGTGAAGCGCAAGACCCGATGTGTTTTTTGTGGATTTCACCTGCTCTTCCCCTTGTAGGTTCTTTTCATTTTTTTTCATTTTTTACTTTAGTACTCTCTTGGTACTCTTCTTATATCCTACAGGGGTGGATCCACAAAAACCGCATCCAAAGAGTTTCCTAGACCACCAATCTCCATGACGTCGCTCCCAATATCACCACCCAAGCGAAACCGCGCGCCATGCAAAAAAACTCGCCCTGAAGTTTTGGTCATGGTTCCAAGGATGCTCAACATCGACGTGTCCGCCTTTGGCATGACCCCAATCCGGTTGGTTCATCAACACAACATGGTGCCCCTGGGTGGTCGGGAAAGTCTTTGTGTCTCATCTTGGCACCTTGCCTTAGAATACGTATGTTGCGTGGACATTCAGGAGAAATCCCTATACAGCTAAACAATTGCAGTGGGTTCTGCGGCAATCGAAACAAAATTCAGTCAGGATAGGACTAAACCATCAGCAATGCTGAGTCATACCTTCTGCCAAAGGGTTCCCCTACGAGTGTAATTGTTTAATTGGGACCCTTTTTTTGGTGGACATCATGTACATGGGAAAATATATCCGCCAACCATTTTGGAGACGGTGTCGACTCTTAACATTCATAGTCAGATGAGCGTGTCTCTTTTGTGAGCCGACGGAACCCGGAATCCCTTCTCCCTAATTGGTGGTCTGGATTGGTGGTTTGGTGATTGAGGAGGGGTTTCCCATCTACCCTTCACAAGAACCAGGGGTCAAATCCAAATCTAAACCACCGATTTCGGGGTGGCCTGATTCATGGGCGTTTTGAACGCTGCTCACATCTAAAAGCGTGTGGCCTGGGCCAAGCAAAGGGCGCGCCTCGGATCGCAGCTGGGTGGGGCAGATCTAAAGAAACAAAGAAACAAACACGTGAATGAACAGGCAAGCGGGCAAACAAACGAACAAGCGAACAAGCGAACAGGCGAACAGGCGGGCAAGCAAGCAAGCAAGCAAGCAAGCGAGCGAGCGAGCGAGCGAGCGAGCGAGCAAGCAAGCAAGCAAGCAAGCAAGCAAGCAAGCAAGCAAGCAAGCAAACGATGTGGCCTGCGCAAGAGACACTTATGTGTAAACCAAGCTGAACATTGGAATGATGCTGGTCAATGAACCAGCCTTAGCTTGGTCTTAGCTTGGTTTCTTGTTTAACCAGCTTGGCGCGCGACCACACCAATCTTTGTTGGTGACTTCAAGCTCTCAACCGCAAGTTGCCCAAGCTTTAGCAGCTTCAGGAAATCTGACCAAACCTCTTGCTGAACTCCCCTAAGAAAAATAAGAAACACCAATTTCCGGTGGTGAAATCGATTCCCTCAACAACACACGAGGAAGCTGAAATGTACATGGACAGTCAAACAAAAATCTGAAACATTACCTCTCCTTGGTTCTCAGGGAAGAAATGGAATGACTTCAAGAAAAACCTTTGGGTATGGGACGCAGGTATTACTCCATGGTTCCATTTACCAGGGTTCCATTTCTATTTCTGACCCACAGCCATATGGTTTCCTTTGCCGGGCTGTCCGTTGTCAGATCCCCTGCTAAAAGTTGAACACTAGTGGCTTGAACGGAAACTGCCTAAACCAACTAACAGCCTCAACTGCCGGACGGGAACCGGACGGGCCAACAAGTTTAGAGAAGTTGTGGTGCCACTTGGCTTAAAACTCGGTCACAGAGTTAGGTCCACCTAAGTCAAATGATGGTGACCAAACTTAGGGGTCCTACTGTGGATGGACGAAATCCTGCACCGCTCTGAAACCATGGCAAGCCGTTGTTGGTCGGTATTTCCAGGGGAATACACCAATTCCTGCATTTCTCAGGTGGTGCGAAACGGATTTCGCAACCATCCACAGCACTGCCAACCAACCGATTCACTCGGCCGACCGCAAGTTTTTTCCCCCGAGCCGCGCTGCGGACTCCTGGGTGACTCTTGGGGCCCCCGGCTGCCACTGGAGGCCCCGAGTGCAGGCCGTCATCGCGGCACTCAGCAACACCACCTAACCGGAAGGGTCGACCAAGACGTGGAGCTGGATAGCAGGGTTGGACATGGAATTCAATTCTGTGATACAAAGGAAGACTAACTCCAATACAAGACGTGGAGCTCAATAGCTAGGGTGGGACATGGAATTCGCTTCTGTGATACAAAGGCGAATTCTAATACAAAGACTAAGTCCGCATCGATTGAGGGGGAGATTCCCAAAAGTGTCAATGATAGCTCAATGAACCGAATGAGTGAGCCCGGGTTTTGGGAATGAACCGGTTTTGGGGAGTCCCGAATGAAAGGGTCTCCGGATGGATGGCTTCTAGCAGCATTCCAACTTTGCTGAGAACCAGCAAGAAGACAAGCTCTAGCTTCCATGGTCTGCCTTTGCTTGTGGGTACCCTTTTTTTGGGGTGGGGTTAAAGGGACACCAACACAAATCCACATGTGTTTGGGGGTCCGCGGTTTTAAGACACCCCCCAAGATCTGTGTTCCCCTTGAACAGTGCTGATTCACCACTAAACCCCAACCCCCCCCGATAGATCAACTGGGGGTTGACTCATCTGGGGTCAACATTCATCTCACTTCCCGAGTTGATGATTTACCCAAAACCTACCCGAACTTTGTGCTTGCCACAAGCATGGCCATGGTTCAAAACCAATGGTATCCCATTTTGGGTTTTCGGTGCACCACCCAATTTAGAACCTATTTTTAGTGGGGATTGGGCTGATCACTGGGGCTAACCGATTTGGGCTTTGACCCATGCCCACATGGCAACCAAACCAAAAAGAAAGAAAAGGCTCAAGTCCGCGTCCCGGAACTCGAGCGAAGGCCGTCCGCTTGAGGACCTGGCATCCCGGGCATCCACCGTGCCGAGCAGGTCCAGTGCCTTGGATCAGAACGCGAGGGTCGAAGCCACGCGCAGAGTTGGGAAGGACCCCCCCCTTGTTTGCGGCTTTCGAAGGGAAACCAAAAGGAGAGCCGAAGCCATTTTTCGGGGGGGGCTTAAGTGGCATTTCTCACCTCCCAGGGATCCGAATCTTTTCAGGAAACCAGAAAACAGCGGATGCGTTTTGTGAGAAAGGAACCTGGTGGAAAAGACCGGGGACCAAGCCCCGACTAAAGATATGGGTCTGGCTCAAACAATGGAATTTAAATGTCACCTCATCTGGGGCTATCCACATTGTTTCCGGGCTCAAACGAATGGTTTCCCAATTTTCTAGCTCAAACAACGGATCCTCATGTGGGGTTCTCCAATTACTTTTCCTGAACACCCTCCAATCGCCAGCGTTTCTCGCTCCAATCGCGGCCACAGCGAGGCCAATGGCGGAGTAAACTGGATGACATATTATGCGCTTCCACTGGGGGTCACCCAAACATGTAGATGTTACCCCAATGGCGGCCCAATCGCCGGCCTTTCGCGATGCAGACTTTACCAATCGCGCACAACTAACAAGTTACCCGAATGATAAATTGAAGACATGCATTTGCGGACGGCCCCGAAATGAACATGGGTAACTTTTCCCATTTAGTGGGACGTATCTTCTTTTTGGGGGTTTTCCCCAATGGTCATCCCATGGAAAGGACCTTTTGATCAACCTCCATATGAAAACAAAGTTTGCCCCGGCTGTTTCCTTTTGAGCCACACCCACGTGGGAAAATTGCGCGGGTCCTGATTCTTGCAGGAAACTTGGGTTTTCCCACCATCTGCCCCCCCAAACCAACAGTAATCAATCAGTGTACCGCTTACTCATGTGGTGTGCGCTCCACGTCAAGTGGCAGTGGCCCTAGATTGCTTGGCACTTGCTATCTCGCCAGGCACCCAGACTCATATTGCCACCCAACAAAAGTCAAACGTGCGTCCAATACGGTCAGTAGCGAGTGTGGCGAGTCCTTCGTTGGTTGCTCATCTGAGCTATCGAGCTATTCTCATTTTGTACTTGAGGTTGATGGAAGAGGGGAGCATCCTGAAATCAAGGACGGCCACTACAACCGTCAAAGGGAAGATTGCCATTGACAGCAGGACGGTAACTTGTGTCTACCGAGCCATCCCACGCACAGAAACATGTTGACATTGACCATTGGGATAAACTCAACTGACTCAAAGTTCAGTCTAAACTTTAAACCAACTCAACACAAACTCAAACAAAAGGAATACTCAAACAAGCTCAACACAAAGCACACCAGTTGCAGCGCAGAAGCTTAAACTGCATGCTCCAGCAGCAGGGCAAGACAACCCATTTCAACCATGCAAAGAACTATTCAAACAACCTCCGTTTGGCCAGGATCAAACACCCAACCCTGATATGCTTGGTAGTCTCACTTCCTGAGAGGATTGGGAGAAACAAGTCAAAACTTTTGATTTATCACTTAACTTACATGGCCTTCCCAAAAAGTTTAAGTCCAGGAACTCGGGGAGTGCTTCCAGTCGAGGTCAGGCTGCCCGCTCTCTCACTTCCCTCGCAAACAAACAGATGCCCACCTTGGACCGGATGCCGAGGGTCAAATTCTATATGTTCTGACCGCGGGTACCGTTTTTGGCAGGTTCAAACGGAAAATCAAAGAGACGACCCCTGTTTTGGGGGGCCAATCTTAACGACCCGCCCACGCCTTCCCCCAAACTTCTTCCGTCCCTGGGTCGCTGGCCGCTTGCCACTGCCGTAATCGCCCGAAGCGCGCGATGGCCGAGGTGGTCTGGCGCCTGACTAGAGATAGTATGATCCGACTGCGTTCCATATTTAGTCCAACCAAGATTTGTGTCAGTTTGCCGGAGACCCCAGAAATGGATTCTAACAAATGGGTATAAATGGGTTCCAATGGTTCCTTTCGGGTGCAAGCGATCGGAACCCGTTCTTTAGAACTCGCTTGAGTTCTCCCAGGATGTTCTGAAACTCGCGGTTCAGTTGGGTGGCGATGTTTTGATAACCTACGATAAATAACCGTACCTGGTTCATAAAAAGAAAAACAACCAATTGAAGAGGGAATCCTTCACTTTGTCGGGGAAACACCTGCCTGTTTTCGAATCCTGGTAAATAGAACCCCCGCCGCCCCGCAGCGGTCGTGCAGGATCCGAATCAGCTAAGCATGCGGCTCCACATGGACAGAGTGTTGCTTTGGAGGTGCCCAACGCGCTCCTTTTCCACTTTTCCAGGAGCGTGAGCAATTTGAGCACATCCTTTTTCCAAGATTGGCGGACTTCGCCAGGGATGATGGGAGTTTGAGTCAAGGACGCGAAAGACAAGGGAACCAAATGATGCCGCAAAAAAGGACGCAGAAAAGGCCCTCCTGGAGCTTGAAATTGCACTGCTCTACACTGAGTCTCAGGTAACCCTTCGTTGGCAATTACCAATTAGAGGTCAGGTGAGAATCTCCTCCCAAGGTTGCGTGGAGATAAACATATGGGCCCAATGCAACCCAGAGTCCTCGTTGGAGCTCTGTTCCGCCATGT